CGGCGTGCCTATCTGCCAGGCATGCCCGTACCTTCCCTTCCGAATTTGACGATGCTTCCTTCATGAAAGTTGTAGATAATGAAGTCCTCTATCCACCACAACTTATAAAACTGGATTTGAATCATCCAATCAAAAGATATGAATAAAATGGTGGAAGGTCGCATTCTGAAATCGCAACAGCGATCATCTAAATTCTTCGTCTTTTTTCACCTCCCTCCTCTCAGATTCTCGCAATGGTGTCTTCCCTTGAAGTTGGCTTTCATATGGAACTTGAATTGTGTCCTTTGGATGTTTGTACAAAAAGATATGCTTGAACGATTAACAGAAGGTCATCCTGATCGTCGTTTTCAAGCTCTATTCGTCTTCTTTGGATCCCGTAGCCACTCCTAGAGCTCTTTTGTCGTCAAAACTTCGTCGTAAACCTCCCGGTGACCTCTAAAGCTCTTGATTCATTCTCAAATGCATCTCGAATCATCCTGATTGCTTCTCAAGCGCTGGTGCTGAGCTTAAATTCCCTGATTTTGACTCCAAAAACTACAAAACTCGAACCAACACCCAGTAACTATGACTTGAGCTAAAAATGAGACTTGTGACACAAAATAATTAGGGAAACCATCAAAAGCCGATCTAAACCCGCATCGAATGTGTGTCTAAATACGGACTTATCAGACCCAATTCTAATAGAACATAATGATAAGAAGAAACTGCCTAAAACTGGAATAGGAAATAACTATAATAGTCTAATTAGGAAACCAGTTATAAGTTATAATAAATATAAATAATCTTGCTGCTCAAGTTAGCCACTTTTAGTGTCACGGACTAGAGGTTCTGCTTGGGCCTCACTTGCATGGATTGTGTCTCTTTGGCCCAATCGGTGTCGCTGATAGGCACGACCCCAAAATGCATCCATATCATCACTCCTATGCGGTTGACAAGAGTAGGCCGGCTTAGTCCCTATGATAACAACTCAGAACACTGCTTTTTGATCTCGTCTTTTTGGAAGTATGGATATATGTATGGTATCACGACAACTGCCCCAGCTCCTGGAATGAGGTATATCATGTGATCACACAATCTTTGGGGAGGGAGGCCTGCTGGTGTGCCAAAGATGTCTTCGAACTGGGATAGCAGACCGGTCATGGACTCCTGAGAGAGGGATGAGTATACTGCCATATGGACATGAAGTACATGAAGTGAATGAATTGCTTCTTGGCACGCCACTCAACAGATGCTCCCTGCCACGCATGGACAAACGCCGAAAATCCGATAAAATAGCTCCAAGGCCTTGCAACCAGTGGATACCCAAAGTCATGTCAAAACCTGCTATTGACTGAATATAAAAGTCTGCTGTAAATTCTTTCCCATCAACGTGGAATACCAAGTGTGGACAAGAACCAAGGATTGGAACTCGGTCATTGTTAGCGACAATAACATGCCAACATGGCTGTTGTGGCGGCTGCATCAAGTGTGGTTGTAAAGTGCTTGTGGATGAAGTTGTGTCTAGTGTGTGCTTCCTGAATCAACCAAAATTTTTATTAGGTGGTCTTGTAGACAACTGTTTAATTGCATGGTTGAGGATGAGCCAAACCCGGTCATCGCGTGAAGTGACAAGGGTTGATCGGGTTCAGAGTCCTGAAAGTTTTGCATTGCTTGTTCCTCATCGATGATGTCAAGGAAGAACAATCTCTAGCAACGATGTCCGCGGACCCATTGAGTATCACAGTTGTATCACAACCTTTTAGGGTGTCGTATTGCGGCTTCGACTTGGGTAATTTTTTTGAACGGGGAAAGCTGCGTCTAGTCGTAGTGGTGTCCGACAGAGAGGATGGTATGGCTGCATGGGTTGGTGATTTAGTTGCATGTTGGATGTGCCCAGTCATTGTTTGTGGCACGGTTAGGGACACAAATTTGCGCTCGCAGTTACAGGCCCACATCATTGCAGAGTCAGTCAAGTGGGTCCTGATTTTCTACTTCTATGCGCACTGCCTCACGTTCAGCTGTAAAAATCTTCACCTGCATGCGTATTGATAAGCTGCTAATCCGTGCTAATTTATGATTCTAGATCAGTTGTTTGGACCAATTTGGCGAGATCACCCTCTGGGTTGGCGCTGCAAGGATACAATTGTGATGATCAATGGGTCCACGGACATCGTTGCAGCGCCCCGAAGCGTCTAGAGAATTTAGTATAAAATTCTGTCCATGTGAGACCAGCTCCTGAGGGGTCTAGTTGATCGGCCCATTGCTGAGAGCCTGAGCAGTGCCTACCATGTGGAATGTTGCTAGTTCGATGCGTGCCTGTGGTGATGTCCTTTTTGGGAAATGAAACGCTCACAACGTTTGATGCAAGAGAGGGGGTCGCTCTTACCATCAAATTGGGGAATTTCCAATTTAGAAAATTTGGGAACATTGTGGTTGTCACTATCCCGGTGGCGGTTATCTGTTTCTCGGCAACGACCAAACCCAGGTGGATCCAAGGGGAAACTTGTCATCGCGAGTTGCTGCGCACTGCTTTTGTCAATGCCATGGCTGCTGCTGGCAATTGTTCGAGGCGTGCAACGGCTGCTGGCAAAGTTTCGAGGCAGGTGACGGATGGTTTGAGGGCAGATAATTGTTCTTCAACATCAACTTGTCCTGGTCAATGGACTCAATCATATGTTTGAGAGGTTCGGTTGCTGAGTTTCCCACAATCGTTCCTGAAGCTGATACCAAGTTGTTAAGAGTGCGGGAACAAGATCTCGTCCTAGGTCAAGAATGGGAGGATGGAAGCGATCTAGGGTAGAGAGAAAGATTAATTTTCGTATTTATTATGAGCACAGAGCACCCAAAGAGAAACGAAAATAATAATCTTTAGTGGAATTAATCTGGTCTGTGACCTAGTCAAGACCCCCTGGGATTAATTCTTTCAAAAGGTCCCGTAGTAATCAATACCAGGGTCCCTGATATAGCTACCATAAGACCCTAACTCTAATAGGACATAATGATAAGAATAGACTGCCTAAAACTGGAATAGGAAATACGTATAGTAATCTTGCTGCTCAAGTTAGCCACTTTTAGTGTCCCGGACTACAGGTTCTGGTTATGTCTCACTTGCATTGATTGTGCCTCTTTGGCCCAATCGACGTCACTGATAGGCACGATCCCAGAATGCATCTATGTCACGAGCCATTGAGGTGGCAAACCAGGATGCTCCCTGTAGCAAACCTGGATGTTTTGCATTCAAACTTCTTTCTTAAAATCTCCATTAGAAAAGCATTCTTGATATCTGATTGATATAGCAGCATTTCCAAATGGCAGACATAGCTAGTACAAATGTACAATGTGAACTGACGTAATTTTCGCAATTAGAGAGAACATATCTGTCTAGTTGACCCATTCTACCTTTCCAACAATTCTGGCTTGTAAGCCCATCTACCTGAATAGATGGACATTATGACCAACCTCGACAATATAAAATCATCTACATCCCACGACAGGCTTATGTGGAGGTAAATGAACAAGTTCCTATGTCCCAGTTGATTGAGGAGCTTCCATTTCATCGGCCATTGCCTTTTTCCAATCTGGACTAAGCAATACTTCCTTGAGACTTGTAGGGACCCTGACGGAAGAAGGGCATGTAATGAAAGCACAATATCATGATGACAATCAGTAATCAGTTATATGAGAGGAAGTTAAAGGTAGGATAAGGATTGTGGCTATACCTTGTACCTATTCTGCCGGGAATTTGGAGTATCATTGTTTCTTGGGTCAACTGTGTATATAATCATGGCACAATATGCGAATCACTTGGATTTTTTTCATTGGGAAATGGCCAGGATCACTATTCTGACGATGTTGGTGCTGATAGGTATAAGCGAATTGCACCACTGAATGATTCTCAGGAATGACTTGGGCAGTTAATTTTTTGTGGCAATATTGGGGATGTACTTGGACAGACATACCTGTCAGAGTGTTCAGGATCAGAAAAGTTTGGATGGGAGGAATATGCTGCACTTATGATTGATCTTACGATTAAGACAAATAGTTGCATTCGGGGTGTCAAGTTCAACATATGTTCAGGCTTGGTGCCAAAGGAAGTTCTCTATTGTAAGGTTTGAAATGACTAAATGGTCTGACTGTAAAAGTTGCTGAACTTATACGACTGAAATGACTAAATCTGCTGAAATATCTAAAATAAACTATTTATAAGCATATATTTAAATGCGTTCAGAAAATCATTTCTAAAAAGAAAATAGGATTATCAATTTCATTCCAGTAGTAACTTGCCTTTTCTTTAAATATTGTAAGCTGAATCAGCAGTTACTTTTTAGTGAAAAAACTGACTACTAAGGGCTAAAACTGACTACTAAGATTGATAAGCCAAAATCAAGCCCCTACCAAGTGGGCTCTCAGCCAAGCATTGTGTAATGGGCAAGTTCGTGTAAGCACATTTTACTTGACAGTTAAGTCTTTACTCAACCCTCCTAATAATTGTTGCAAACACCGCCTATCTAGGCACTAGGCTCTCAATGAGCCCCAAAGTCTTTTTCCTATTTCTTTCCCATCATTCCGCTCAACCCCCAACTGGGTTTTAGGCTCCACTATGTTTCCTCAGGGTCCATTTGGAACCTAGGAAATACTAGAGAAAGAAAATAGGAAGGAAAACATATGGAAAATTTGAAAGAAAGAAATGTTGGAGAAATTAAAATATAGGCCAGAACATAAATCTGATTTTGAATATATGTTGATATTCATTTTATTTATGTCTTTTATGTAAGGACTATGGAATCTGAATATTGGTTAATTTTTTATTTAAACTAATCATGCTTGATTTGCCACTGTTCCATTCAATTTTTCCATGCTAAAACGGAACATAAGAAAATAGCTTCCCTCGACATTTCTTCCACTATTTCCTACTATTTTCTGGGGTCCATATATACCCCAAGGGATCTTAGTTCATGCAATAGATAGGTCATCATTGTATGTGCATACACGCATGTATTTACAAAGTTTTACATGTGCAGGACAATGTGCGGAACCAACTTATACAGTTTGAGCTGATACTAACCACTGCAACATTCGTAGTTGCAATCTTTGGTGTGGTTGCGGGTATATTTGGAATGAATTTTGAGATCCCGATGTTCCAATACGACAATGCGTTTAAATGGGTGCTTATAATCACCGGGGTTTGTGGACTCGTGATTTTCCTCTCCTTTCTGTGGTATTTTAAGTACAGAAGATTGATGCCACTATAGATAGCAGAGATTTGAAAGAATTGGGGGGGCGGGGGGGGGGTTGGGGGGGGGGCAAGGAGAAAGTTGTGTTAACCACGTAGCTGTAATTAGCAGTTGTACAAACGCACTTCACGCATGAATATAACTCATTGTGAAATTGTGGTTATTATTGAAAAGAAGACTTTTCCATTCATTTCTCTTGTTAATATTGTTTTTTTTGTATACATGGGAGTTGCACCAGGGGGGGGGGGGACTCGTTCCCTTTTGCATGAAAAAATGTGATTTTAAGACACGTTTGTTTAACTCGTTTTGAATTTATCTAAATATGTCTAGTTTGATTTGGTTTGAATGTTTTTGGTCTGGAAAGTATTTGAATGTCCGATCTTGTGTAGTTTTCTTGTTAGATATATAACATAGTGGAAACTGGAAACTACACGTAAGGTCTTCTTTTGCATCTAGACTTTCATTAGCATGGTGTAGGGCATCTGCAAATGGCTCATCAAACCATAGGTCTTCTTTTGCATCTCCACAGGTCTTCTTTTACATCTAGACTTTCATTAGCATGGTATACATGGAAGATTTTCATATATTAACCCCCCCGGGAGAGTCAATAGAGCTAAACTCTGATAATGTCGTTTATTGGGCTAACCGTGCTTTCACTCATATTAAATTGGAGGACTATGGTAGCGTTGTACAAGATGCTACTAAGGGAGTGTTTGCGTTTGCTTCTGCTTTTCAAAAGTGATTTATTTAAGTGATTATTGGAAAAGTGATTTATTGTAAAAGTAGATAGTGTTTGGGAATAAAAGTGATTTTAATTAAAATGTAAAAGTTAGAGTGTTTGTTAAAATTTAAAAAAAGTGATTTTTGATAAGATATTTTGTTAAAGACAAAAATGTCCATTATATCTCCACCAACGAGTTGTCTTCCATCCCACGAACAAAATTCTGCTGCCAAACTCGAAGACCTAAAATCAAACAAAAACATGAATTTGGGAGCTTCTCTTCTCTCTCTGGTCCAACCACTTTGAAATCCATGAGGAGCTCCTCTTCTATTCCATGAACCCCAACTTGTACCAGTCAAGTGGAATATGGAGTCCATGTCTAAAAAAAGAGGCGTCCAAGTCAACCCATCAAATAATCCACTTGGATTTTGGGTGAGCCGCATCGTTCACCTTGTTTTTGAAGAGGCAGAGTAGCAAATAATGGTCTCTGTATTCTTGTACGCCGTCGTCTGCAAACCAGTGGCTGGTGGGGTTCGTTGAACAGAATCGGTACCAGAGCCAACAAGGTCTGACAGCAAGATAGATGAGGGAAGGGTAATCTGGGTTTACTCAAAATATATAACTTAATAACCATCCTCAAAGTTCCATTTATTTACCAATGAACCAAGAAGCAGTTTAAAAGCTGGGCTGGGGTAGCTTTTAGATTTTGGCTTTAAAGCACTTTTTTTAAGTCAAAGTTGGGGTTACCAAACATTTAGGATTGCTTTTTTTTAATCTAAAAGCTCCAAAGTGCTTTTTTTAAGCAAACAAAAACACTCCCTAAGGCTATTGAGATTAACCCTAAAAATTCCAAGGTATGTTTTGATACTTAGAAAGATAGAGAAAGTGTAATATTGTTTTGGATTTAAAATTCTCATGGGTATGTTTGGTTGTTTAAGGTCTTATTTTTGTTGCATCTCCACTGAATTTGTTTGGTTACTATAGCCAAGGGGCTGCCTATTTAGCAATGGGGAAGCTTAAAGATGCACCCAAGGATTTTCAACAGTTTTTTCCTTTTTCCTTCATTATTTTTTGTGACTATTTTAGTTTGTGTTATTGATTTAGTGTGTCATTTAATATATACCCGGTGCCTCATGTAGCCACTGGGTCCGGTCCGGGTCCGGGCCGGGCCTCGGGTCATTTGTTTTCCTTTTCCTAATTTACCCCCCCAACCCCCAACCCCCAAACCACCCCAAAATGGCCCAAAATACCCAGCCCAACCCGAAAAGTTAAAAAAAAAATAAAAAGAAAAATAAAAAAGCCCGGAACTGGGCCCGAACCGACCGGGCCGGTTCGGCTTTTGGGTGACCCGAGCCTGCACCGGGAACCCCCCGGGCCGGGCCTACCCGGACCGGTCATTGGCCGGGCCACCGGGCCGGGCCGGTTCAGCACAGTACCTATCCTGGGCCGGTTCCAGGTCGGGCCACCTGGCCCGAGTCCAGGACTTGACATGGGTTCCTCGAGTTACATTTGATAATTGATGGAGTTACATTTTTTATGAATGATTTACATCTTTATATGCATGAGAGTTACATTACATTTATTATAAGCGAGTTACATCGTCTGAAGTGCAAGTTGCATTCTGTATATACTTAAGTTACATTTGTCAACAACGCGAGTTACATTTTTAATAAAATGAGTTACATAGAAAAACAACACCTGGTATTCAAACAAAAAAATGATTTTTTAAAAATCCTTAATCAAGTCATGATATTAAAAACCAAACATATTCACGGTTTACATAAAGTAATTGTGCAATTAAACTCTCTTTTTCATTGTTTACATTGAAATCAATGTTTTATTTCTTATACTATGTATTTGATAAGTTACATTGATCAATAACGTGAGTTACATATCTTTACACGCGAGTTACATCATTCATACTACTGGGACAAAAAAACAGTTACTGTTCACGCATGCAGCTGTTCACGCAATCACGCGTTACTGTTCACGCGATTTTTTTTATTTTAAAAATTATGCAAAACTACGTCGTTTTGGGTGTGGGAGCACGGTGCTCACCGTGGGGTGGTACCACGATATACGAACTCTTTCATTAATGTCCACGTGCAAAATATTTTCCATTTTCTTACTGTCAGCTTTTCAAATTTATTTTTTAGTTTTTTATTTTATTTCAAGAATAGCCTTGATCCTAAATTTAAAACTCGTCATCTCCGACTCTTCTCCTTTAATTTTTCTCTTTCTCCTCATCGCCCATATTTTCTTTCATCTTATAGAGTTATACCCTCAACCGTCGCTTCCCTCTCTTTTCCACAACCCTCTGCCTCTAACCTCTATTACGGATGGACCAGGCCAGGGCCGGGCCTCAGGACGGGCCCAGCCGGTACTGATACTTTTGGCTTAAGGCCTGGTACCAGTCTACCCGCTCAGGTCTCGGGTCGGGCACTTTTTTTTGAAAGGGTCTCAGGTCCGACACTTTTTTTTTTGAAATCTTGTTTAAAAATGTATTCAAGAAGTGCTAATTATAAAAAAGTTAAAGTATATTTATTTGAAATATGAACTACAATTGAGAATTGAGAAAAATTTAAAACAGTAAATACATTTCCTAATAAATACTACCTCTGTCCCGCTAAGATTATCCCATTTTACCTTTTCGGTCCGTCCCACTAAGATTGTCCCATATCAAATTAGGCAAAATTTGTGTGGTTCCAAATTATTCTTACTTTATTCTTACTTTATCAATTCAATATCAACCACGTAACTCATTTTTTATTAGTTTGTGTGCCACTATCTCTTGTCTCATTGTTAGCGGGACGGAGGGTGTAATAATCAATCGAATCTCCGACACCGTCGGTAGTTGTTTCCTCCATAAAGTGGCTGTAGGTTTTTAAACATGACTAAAAAGAAGTACATGAAGATGATGATAAACAATATGAGAGTTTCATTGAAGAGAATGAAGACAATATTCAAATATGATGAATTGGTCCTCGTGTGGAGATGCATCTAAAGAAGAAGGAATGATGAACAAAGTCAAATAACATTTTTGTTATGATACTTTTGTACATCTTTTTTGTATTACTTTGTTGCATCAACCTGTTATTTTTTGTTGCATAATGTTGCTTTATGCTGCATCATGTTGCTTATTGTTGGATCGTGTTGCTTATTCTTGATTTTGTTGATTTCGATTTATTTGTTATTTAAGATTCTATTTATCTTTGCTACTTCTTTGAAAAACACACGCGCGCGCAAACACACATATATAAGTACCTTAAATGATAAACTTGGGTTTATGAATATCAAAACAAGAAAAAACATGAAGAAACATAAAGAAACAAAAAACTCTAATTATCAACACAAAGAAACAATACGCTAAAATTTACAATAAGCTGATAATAATTTGATTTTTTTTAACTATTTTTAAAAAACCTTCACATAGAAAATTCATATTTTATATTTTCCAACTTTTAAATTTTTCTGCGCATTTGATATTTTAATATTTCACAATTTGCATTGTATTTATCGGGGTTTAGATATTTACATTGTTTGTTTCTTAGATTAGTTTTGATTTTTTAAAATCTTATTAATTTTTATTTGTAATTTAACTTTACTTACAAATTTTAATTTGGATATTTTAATAATTTCATATTTTATACGGGATATATATATTTTAATTTTAAGGATTTTTTAATTTGTATGTATTCCCATTTTTTTTACTATTTTGTAAATAGTTCTAATTAGTTTAGATATTCAGAAAAGTATTACCTTATTTTATATTTTCTGTTTATAATTTTTTACGTTTTTAACCACTTCAATTTATATTTTCAGAAAAGATACAGGTTGGCGGCATCGCCCGTGAAGGAGAGCAGCAACAAAGTAGCTTGAAATGTGAGATTAGTTTAGGAAGATTGGGGTATTTTAGTTATTTCCATTTTAATTTAAAATGATCACATATTTGTTCAAATATAAATGATTATGTTTTTGTCAATCCAAAAATTCTGCAAACAATCCGTCGATATACATGGCTATGCATTTGAACCAATCCACAATGGCATGCTCTAAAAGTTTAAAACCGACATTCCCTGCAGGTTTTTCTCTTTGGCGCGAACAGCCAACGATCATCCCTTTGCTCCGCTGGTTGTCTCTTTTAATTTCCACTTCTCCATCTCTGCATTCTCGGAAGAGTTTCAATGGAATTATTAGCAACCGAAGATTTCAAGTGTCAGAAGCCATTTCAACTTTCTGTTTGCCATCCTGTTGTCATGTTTTGATTTAGCTTTTTCGATATTTCATACAGTTTCAGGTAAATACAATGTCTGGTTTAGCCCTTTTTCGAGAATTCAATTTGATGTGAGGTAATTTTGGTATTAAATGAAAAATTATGAATCAGATTAGGAATGTATTAAGCGCATGGGAAGTGGAGTTTATGCGGATTATTATTCCCCTTTCTTGGGTATTATTCAGACGAAGAGAAATTTGGATGTTTGAAATAGTTGTAGATGCCCTTGGGTGCAGAAAATTCTTTAATTCTCCATGTCCTATGGATTTTCTCTCTCTTTACTTTGCTACTATTTGATTCCAAACCTTTGTGGTGTGGTCGGATTGGTAGATATTAGATAGTGAAGAGAAAGTAACCTGAGAGGAATGATCAACTTTCCATCATTTTAGTTCCACATGGGGGAGAAAAATATTCGACATGATAGAAGATTATACTGTACCTTCTCATCCAATCAAGAATAATTTGTACTTTTATAAATATTGCCTTCCTCTCATTTTAGTTTCAACAAACCAAACACACTAGTAGTACACTCAGTGTAGGTTCACTAGGTTGATGTGTAAATAGAAGAAAAGTTATGATGTATGCGGTGTGAAAAGGGAGAAGTTTAATGCATTTTCATATTCCCCTGACGAAAATTCACTATATGCATGTACACAGATGTATGTGCGTAATATGTTGCTTCAATGCTGATATGCTGTTGATCATTGGTTAAATGTGATGATGTGATCACTATAGCTACTTCTTATGACATATATTCGTGATTATTATTAATTATCTCCACATTGATTTTTTGAAATTGTTTTGTTTATGCACATGACTGATCAGGCAAACTAGAGACACAAAGTCACTATCAATGCTATTTGTCATTTATAAGAATCAAATGATACCTAGTATATGTTTTTTCTTTTTTCTGTACAGGAATGCAATCCATATGATGTTTTAATGTGTCCACATGTCAACTAAAGGAAATATGATATGTTATCCTGTATGGGCTGATTCTGTGATCAACCTTTTATTCATGCTCAATGTAGTTGGGTTTCCACAATGTTCAAGTCACAGTATATTGGAGGGCGGAAGGAGAAGTTTGTAAGGTGTGTTATAAAATTAAATCATGTTAAGTTCCTCAGAGTACATGTAGGTGGTCCGCGGGCTTCTGTAACAAATGAAACCATTACAGCGCTTCTGGTTTAATTGGAAGAAGTGTCGTATATCCCTTTTGGGAAAGGTAATTTGAAATGGTTGAATTTGCTGAATATGAACAGAAAAGCTTTTGTCGCATCCATTTCATCTAAATAAGTCAGAATAAGCAAAATAAGTCACTTTTGACTGCCAAAAGGAACTTCATTATCAACATGGTGTGGTTCAATCTGCTCAATATTTTAATAAAGATCATTTAAAAATATAAATTTAAAAATCAAGAAAAAAGTCTAAAAACGGAAAAACTATCAATTTAAGCTAGAATTCCAAAAAGTAACTCATGCACTACTATTGTTCATTACAAGTCATTTCAGGGCACACTCCGGCACAATGAAATATGTTAGCCTTGATGGAAAAAAATCATTATCATCATTACCCAGTGCCGCAAAGGCTCCCACCTACTAAAGCACAAAGAGTCTGTTTCTAGATGACCATAGTGAAAATCGCGTAAAAATTGCATGGACAGACTGCTTCTTCATAACAAAGAAGCGCATACAGTTTAGTGAGCCATTTTGCTTTATTCCATCATATCCCCAAGCAAAAAAGAAAAGCCAAAAATAATGTTTGCCAAACATGTTCTCATATTTCATCAATATCATACTCCCTCCGTCCCTTATAACTTTGCCAACTTTCCTTTTTTGGATGTCCCATTAACTTTGCCACTTTCCCATTTAAGTAAAGAATTTGCGGTTCCAATTAATTCTCTCTCCTCTTCACAAACCTCAACCGCACAGTTTTTACTTTATTAATCCCTATGCCGGTCAAACTTGGCAAATTATTAGGGACGGAGGGAGTATGTTTTACTGAAACTCATTGAGTTATTATCTATATGATTCTGTTTGATACACAGACTGGATGACATTGACTCTAGAACATCATCATTCACATCCAATATGGCTGCTGGGAAGAAGAATTGTGGTTTTAGTTTTGACGGAATGACTTCTGGTGGACAATCTCACAACCCTTCTTCAATGTCAGTTAGACAAGGGGTTATGAGAGGGTCTGAGGGACTAATGACGTTTGGCAGATCAATAAAATCTGGAGTTGTACGAGCAGTGTTCCCAGAAGATCTCGGAGTCTCTGAGAAAAGGATATTTGATCCTCAGGATGAGACTCTCATACTTTTGAATAGGCTATTTGTTATTTCGTGTATTTTTTCTGTATCAGCTGATCCTCTATTCCTCTATCTTCCTGTTTTCAACAGTGAAGCCAGCTGTCTTCATTTAGATACAAGTTTGGCATACACGATAACTACCTTGAGGACGATCATTGATTCCTTTTATCTCATTCGAGTGGTACTCCAATTCCGCACGGCCTACATTGCTCCTTCATCTCGGGTTTTCGGACGAGGTGAACTTGTGATTGATCCCAAGCAGATAGCACACAGATATCTACGTCGTTATTTTGTGGTAGATCTTCTTTCTATTCTCCCCCTGCCTCAGGTTTGTTTCCATTCCCCACCCTAACATTTGAAAAGTTTATATTCATGAAGTTGGGTCTAGGTCACACTACAATGATTATGAAGATATGATATTATGATGCTTATGCTATGGATCCATTCTATGAAAAAGTATATCAACAAAGGTGTGGCTGAAAAAGTTTAGGAAATTTAGTCGGGCCAATCGAGAAAGATCAGGATGGTTTACGTGCTGACCAGGTGGCTAAGAAAAGCTGGCAGCATTCAATTAATTAGATCCTAGTTATTTCAGATTCATAGTTATTTCCTTATTCAGTTAGGAAAGCTGGCAGCATTTAATTAATTAAATCCTAGTTATTTCCTTATCCAGTTAGGAAACATCCTATTAGGACTCTTTTAGTCTCTATATAAGGGGCCTAATATTTATTAATAAAGTACTTTTTGGAAGATTGATTTTAATATATCTATCACTCCTCTTCTCTTCTAAGATCCTGTTTGATGCCTTGGACATGGTCGTATGCGCGAGTCCTTATCAGTTTACCTCATCAACTTTTACACTAGACTCTAACCCATTAGACTCAAATCGTGGAACACAACAATTGAGTAATGTACTGATGTCAAAAAACAGAATAGTAGTGAATGCATTTAGTGGAATAACACTCATATGCATATTTGCGCCTGGTTACTCAACTCAATGGTCCCTTCAACGTTAGTCATAATGGATGGCATTGCGGCTGGGAAAACACTGAAGGTGTTTTCATTAAGAGAGATCATTGTTGTTGTTAATGGAGATGAGACTATTGAAGAGTTTTACCTGCCTTTAAGCGAGTTTTACCTGCCTTTAAGCAGACTATGTCTACTTCTCGCCCATGAAAGTTGCACAAAAAAGGACTATGAAATATCTAAAAAAAATTCAACCTGACATTTGTGCATAGGAGTGGGGTGATGCTGGCGTAAACAACGATTCCCTCCACCGGAGAAGGTTGTTACAGCTATGATGCACAAAGTCACATTGGGCTGCAGACTAGGACAAGTAGACTACAACGTATGCGATTAGTCTTGGCGGTCTCAAATTTATGTGACACAGGTGCACATGTGGACACTCATAGGTGCTACAAATGTGGGAAAATAGGCTATCTCACATAAGGATGTCCTAAGCCACTTAACAAGAGAGAGAGATAGGTGGACATTGAGCATTAGGAGGCCGTGGTGGCCAAAGGGCTGGAAGAGAAGGCTACGAGGAAAATGTAATGGTAGCATATAACGAGGGAGAAAAATGCGTGGACTTTCGTGATGACGGTTATGAATTGCTTGAAATGTTGAAAAAGAAACAAAGAACAGCTTCATGAGGACAAAAAGAGAGTGACCTCATTATCATCCATGTCTAAAAAGTTTCCATCATCCTTGCCTCGTCCCCAGTTACTCATAGCTCTGCCCATGTCCACAGGCTCTGTGTAGATTTTTATATTTTATTTGCATATTATTTCACCCCAAAATCTTGTGGGAATAAGGCTTGAATGCTGTTGTTGTTGCATATTATTTCAATTCATTGAATACACACACACACACTTATGCATGCGATGATATATTGCTAGAAGAACAAGGAATAATTGCTGATTGATTTGCTTTGTTGATTTTATTCTAATTTGATTTTAGGGGAAATCTTACTTTTAGTCCCTCAATTAGTGCTCTCATTGAAAGTCTTTGAGTTTTTAATTTTGTAAATGTCATCCCCTAGTTGTTCGGTTTTTTCTAAATATTGTCCTCGCTGTTAAAATTGAACCAACACTGTTAGGGTTGTAACATTTTTTTTTGTTACAACAGAAATAAAAACAAGAAAAAAACATATTAAAATCTAATACTCTCTAACCCTTTAGCATCCTTCCAAAGAATTTGTTTGATCCAATTTGGAGCTGATTCAAGAACTGAAAGACCCTTTGGAGCTTGATGTGCATCATTAGCAAGCCTATCGACACATTTATATCCTTAACGGTAGATATGTTTAATGTGAACGAATCGGCCATCCTCGAGCACTCTTCGACAATCTCGAACTAGGACTCCGATATTAGATGTCCACGAGCCATGTCTCCTCTTGAGAGCCTTTATCATACTCTCTCAATCCACTTCCACGATGACCTTCTTCAAATCCAACTCTTTAACCAACAACAATCCCTGACGAAGTTCCCAGAGTTCTGCTTTGAAGCTACCAGTTCTCCCAATGTTCAATGTGAAGCCAAGAATCCATCCCCCTTTGTGATTCCGAATAACTCCACCCGCTCCTGCTTGTCTCCCGTTATCCCGTTGGTTAGGGTTGTAACATGCGGTGAAAAATTAGTCATTCCAAAAATCTTCACACAAATTATTTTTGATTCTAAAGTTAGGCCACAAATGTAAAATGTCGTTTAGAAAAAATCTAATTTTACGGTCAACAAATGTCCGGCACACTGCACAAACAAAAAAAAAATTCCCAATAGGGTTAAAAAATTGCATCATTTTTGTACACATTTTCTTTGCACAAAAAATTGTAACACATTTGTGGCAAAAATTTCTTTTCACAAATAATTTTTGTCTCTAAAGTTAGGTTACAAATATAAAATGTTTGTCGGAAAAAATCTAATTTTACAGTCAATAAATGTCCGACACACCGCACACACAAAAAGTGTTTTCGATAGAGCCAAAAAATTATACTCCCCCCGTCCCGCTATTAACTTCCTACTTTGACCTACACACATATTTAGGAAATAAATTTGACTTTACTGCTTAGCTAGTAAAGTGCTTGGCTAGTTTTATAGATAATAAATATTTGACATAAATAAAAAAAATTCAAACAAGAGTAAAAAAGTTATATAATTTTTGTGCACACTCAATATTAATCGCACCGACTTTTTTTTCCCTTTGAAGTTAGGTCACAAAAAAAATGTAAGCCGAAAAAAATAAAAATTTATGGATAATAATTGTCTGTTCGAGGTAACTTGATTTTTTGGAAGAGCAAGTAGCTAGTTGTAAGGTGACAACAAAAAATGGATCGAGAGACTAAAATAAATTTGTGCCGTGACAACCAGACAGCAATCAACGTTTCCCATAATCCTGTGGAGCATGACAGATTCAAACATGTTGAAATTGATGTGTTTTTCATCACAGAAGTTAAATAGTGGTCTATTGGAGCTAAGTCATATTTCATCTAAGGAGCAATTGCCTTATACATTGTCTCATCAAGGGACTGAATTCATTATAGTTATCTAAATTGTTGTCTAAACTATGTGATAAGATGGGCTCAATAGATATACTTCGTCCATCTTGATGGCAGTGTTAGAGAAGCCCTTCTAATTAGTTTGGTGTATAGAAGAAGCTGCTAGTAGTATATAGAGGAAGCCACTTGTATAAGTAGGGAAAAGTCAAAACACGTGTATAAATAAACTTACAGACCACTAAGTATCTTCACAAATTTCTAAAATTTGAAACTTTTCGTAAGCTTCCAATTGTCATGCGAAGAGAAAAGGTCTATGTAAATCTCTTCCTCCCTGAACTTACTAATTTGGCTTGGGTTCCTTTTCCCTATCCTAAAGTTGCAAGAAATTTAATATCATTACTTTTATTTGTATCCTTCAAGTCTTTCCATCTGCAGATTGTGGTTTGGAGATTCCTTCATGGATCAAAAGGCTCAGATGTATTAGGTACAAAGAGAGCTTTAGTTTTCATCGTCATTTTTCAACAGATTCCTAGGTTTTTGCGGTTTGTTCCTCTAAATTCAGACTTAAAGAAGACTTCTGGAGTCTTTGCTGAAACAGCGTGGCTTGGTGCTGCATATTATATGTTGTGGTTTATGCTAGCTAGTCATGTGAGTAAATCATAAGCATCCATACTGCAGTCAACATTTATTTGATGATTTGTTTATAGTTTCTTACATATATTTATATTTATTAGTCTCTATATAATATTAGATTATATGAAGTTTAAAGAGTGTGGGCTAATCTGATGGATTGAAGCGTCCCCCCAAACAATTCTTTAAAACAAAATCTGATTATAGTTTTAATCTATGTAATAAACAAAAGTTCACGGTTAGCATAAAATATTCTTCAATAAAATTGTTTTAATAAACACCGACAACCATTCAAGTTGCAGGCATCTAGCCAATCGACTGTCAAAGCAAGTATGTTTCGCGGGTCCAACTTGGGTGTTAGGTTATATTAATATTATATATTCTCAGTTAAATAAGAGATGGCAATAAAATGATAGTGTTGCACAGAGCTGCCTGTCATATCTTCAGTTTCGGCCGGGCCGAATCGGCCCTATGCGCAAGATAAGAGCAGTTGGCAAATACTTTCACCATTGAATATTGCCAGTCACATGTGGTTTCATAATATGAGTGCAGATATTTGGAGCCTATTGGTACCTATTAGCTGTGGAACGTAAAAATGCATGCTGGGAAAAGGCATGTTGGGAGGATGCAAATTGTGTTGCAAATTACTCTTTACTGTACTGTGCTCAAGATGGAGAGAGCAGGGCAAATATAACAAATTGGAGAGATATTAGTCAACAAGTTCTCAACACAAAGTGTGCTGCTGATGAGAACTCCACGTTTAAATATGGTATCTATGCGCAAGCTGTCTCATCTGGTATTCTTGACTCTGAAGATTTCATCTCCAAATACTGTTATTGCTTGTGGTGGGGCCTGCAAAACCTGAGGTAAAATAAGAATAATAACAATGGAAAATCCCGAAATACGTGTGAAAACGTTCGAGAATTCCGAAATAGAAGTACTATGTGGTTTATTCCTTACTAGGAGTACGTTTAAAATTCACTGCCATGTTTTGGCATTGCGGATTTTAAACATGGCAGTATATTGACATGAATGGTACCATAATGCCATAAATGTCTGTATTTTATATGGCAGTAATTACTTATATTTAGAAAATAAAAATATATTACTCATATTATGAAATTTCTAATCTTTTTCTCCTAGTTAGGGTTAGGGAAATTTCTTCAATACTAATAATAATAATAATAAACATGGATGGTTGGTTCTTCAATCGGAGGGAATTGGATAGAGAATGAATTATTCATTTTCAATTGGATTCCGAATTCAACATAATCTGATGGTTTATCATGAATTTGTTATTTTTTTCTAAAGAAATTGCTCTATAAAAGAGTAAAAACAATGTGTTGTTTCAAAATATGAGTTTCATATTAATGTTCGATAATGCCAAAGTATGTCAATATGATTTCAGGATGACAATATTTACTTTTATTTTGAAAAAATATGGTACCCTTATTTTGGAACTTCTCATTATTTTTACTCTCATTTTGGAAAATGTCCCTTCTTTCTCTACTATGTCCACGTCCAGCCAGTTTCGGTTTAGGAGGTTTCAGACACTACCATATCTAATAGCCTCTTAATTAATGAGAGTTAGGGGATGCTTACTTAAATTTCTATTAAGTCTTGTCTGGATTAAGACGTCTATCTAGATTAAGATGTTTGTCTGGATTAAGTGGCATTTGTATATGAATTAAGTGGCATTTGTATATGAGGTTGATTATACTTGATGATATTAGGCCTGCGACTCGTGACTTTCCTTGAAGGAGAGTCAGGGCCTCACAATAAGATAGCCCTGACTCTCCATGAACTTCAGACACCACTAACGAGGCATTGGTCTTGATAATTGTTCGTATCTACCCGTTTTCCTTTGCCTAAAGAAATGCCTCTCTCACTCCCAGCGCCTCTGTTAACATTGGTGTCCACTCTGCTTTTACAGCCTCACTATGGCCTTGTACAAAATGAGTTCTCATTCCAAGCAACCCATCCCCATGCTCCAACTCCCTATTGATGATCTCGAATTGGAATTTATTAATAATATTCCCGAATAAATTAGATTTAATGAAAAATATATCTGGGGAGAGTGTCACAATCATAACCGCCCGAAAAAAGATCCACTCGAATCTGTCATATGCCTTACTCATGTCTAGTTTTAAGGAAACAAAACCCTCTTTACCTTGACGTTTTCTTTTAGGGTGATGAAGAGTTTCAAAAACAACCATCACATTATCTATATTGACCTTCTAGCAAAAGAAATTGGATTCTCTGGAATCTAACCCATCCATAATTCCTTTCATTTGAGTAGCAAGTGATTATTAGAAAATCTTGTACGCCACATTACATAGTGCAACAACTATCATCCTGAAGCCGCACAACACCCAAGTTGGATGTGAAACACTTCCTCTCTTCTCCTTTTCATAAAGGATATCGTTAAAGGCCCCATAACTAGCCAGGGTGAGTTTTTGTGTGCTTGCAAGTTGCCTCAGCAATGTCCAAGGTTCTCTCCTCTTACTATGATCTGGAATCCCATTGTAGCCTGTAAGTCTCCACATGGGTTCCCTTCCTCGAGCCTAACCTTACAATCAATAACATAGGTTTAAGTTTCTGAATTGTAATCTCTATCTCATCCCTCCACAATGGGGGTGTTTGGAAAATGGCGTTCTAGCAAAAAAATTGCTGTTTGACCCCTTTTAGTGTTTTCAATAAGTGAAAATGTTGTTTGGTAAATAGCTGTTCGGCTCTAGTATTTTTGGACGGAACCGCTGAAGAGTTTTGGATTGACGTTTTGAAAAATTACCAAACATCTTCTTGCAACCCGCCAACGTATTCTAATAGTCAAACCCGCTGAGTGAATCCGCTATTGACAACCCGCTACCATAATCCGCTATCCACTAACCGCTAAATGCCAAATACACCCAAGAATGGCAATCCTCCAGTCAGCCCAACACTACAACTGTTTTGATACCTTAAAGCCGTCGGCACTTCTTCTACATAAAACCTCCCCATCTTTGTCTCCATAAGGAAAATCAGCGATGGCCGCTTTTCATAAATCAAGTTTAGCAATCTGCATCATAGCTAGATTTCCTAACCCCCTGCAATTTAGCATACCATGCTCATCCAAAGCAAGCCTGATGTATCATTATCAATAACCAAATCAACTGCTGAGGCGGCTGAACAATAACGAATTACTGACCAGAAAACTAACCCTAGTCCTGCTAGGTACCCGTTCGCTATTATTTTATTACTCCAATTATTACTTAATGAACCTTTTTTGGACAAAAGAATTTCTTTTTCCTAAAATTTTAAAAATATTTTAAATTTGCATCAAGATTAAAATTGGAAGTTTTATCTTAAATTAGTCACGCACCCATACAATTTGAAATGTTTAAGAAGTATGATATATTTATTTCAGTAATTAATTTTAAACATTCTTTAATTCTTGTTGTCATCGTGTTTTGTGATCGTGGAATGTCTTTGTTTACTAAATCCTTACACATTCTTTTTTTTGCAATTCTTTTGCAATTATGCATCAGGAAGGACAATATATATAATAATTGTTTGATGTTCTTTAGGTTTATTTTTCTAAGTCATCCAATGTCTTACAAAAATTCTTGTTGTCATCATGTTTTGTGATTGTGAAATGTTTCTGTTACCTAAAATCCTTACACATTCTTTTCTTGCAATTATGAATATGACAAGGACAATATATATAATAATTCTTTGATGTTCTTTAGATTTATTTTTCTAAATGCATCAGATGTCTTACAAAAAAACAATTAACATTCACTTCGAGGTAAAATAACTCTCTCTACAGTAATAATAACATATACGGAGCATTACAGAATTAACTATCTTTCCATACCTTAACTATTTAATTGTATAACGGAAATGATAAGGAAGTATTTTTTGACATCTAATATTTTACTATAATGTTTGGTGTACACCCTATATAATCATTCAAAATGTACCATTTATTTTACCCCCTTCAATCTCTCCTCCCTTCTCTATCCATACGGTTCTCTCCTCCCTTTCCTCTTTTTTCCTTCTTCCATCTTCATCACCTCATCTTTAGCATCTTCATATCCAACACCTTTCTTCATTAGCTTTCATCTTCACCATGCCATGTTGTGCCATCTTTTATCTCATCTTCTTCATTATCGTCGGAGTTGTAGTCACTGGAAGTATCGCCGGAAAATAACCGCAGTCCAAGTCACCGGAAATGATATAATTTGTACGCATGAAAAATGAAACTGAAAAACTAATAACACTTTGTAAAATTTTGCCATAGAAAAAAACCTTATGTATACAAACACTAGTTTTCTATTAGTGTTTGTGTACATAGACAAAAAATGTTGCAGAGAAGTCCGAGGTTAGGTGGCACAGAAACCAATGTTTGTGTAGACAGACAAAAAATGTATGGATGCAGGCACTTTTGTTTGTACAGACAACTAATATCAGCGTATTTGACAGTTTTCTTTTATTATATTCCTATTTATTAAGTTTCTTTTAATAGAAATAAATTTTTTTAATAAAAGATTCACTTCATAAAAATATCATTGCACAACTTGAACAGAAAACACTAGATGACTAAAGTGGTGAAATCAACTCAATAAATAACCTTTGATTTTGCAGTACTCTTGGCCAGGGTCTTGAAACAAGTACCTATCCTCTGGAGGTTCTCTTTTCGATAACATTGGGAATTCTTGGGCTCCTACTCTTTGCTCTTCTCATTGGAAACATGCAGGTATTCTGAAGTTCAGATGGTTTGGATTTCTGTATGCCTCAGTTTTTCTGCCCGAGGAATCTTCTGCCAATCATCGAGGGTCCATTTGGACCTCAGAGAATGTTAAGGAAACAAAACAGAAAAGTAGATGCGAATTTTAGATGGAAACAAATTTAGGAAAAAATAACGGTTGAAATTAATAAATTAATTTTAGATGTTTTGTGTATTGTTTTATGTTTATGATTTAAAGACTAATGAACGTAAATATATTTAAAATTTAAAACAATTTGAACCAAATTTGATTTACGCATATTTTCCAATATAAATTACACATGAAAAAAACTATTTAACTTTATAAAAAAAAATTTAAAAATTTTGATCACTTCTTTTCTCCCAATCCTAGCATAGTCTAGTAGTACCATAGTCTTATTACACTATTATGAGTACAGGGAGTATAGGGGCAAGGGGACAAATAAAACTGCAATAAAAAGAAACAATTTTGTGGAAGGTAGAAAGAAAGATTCCACATTCTACAAATTGCTCACCGACTCCATTGCTAAAGGAATCCATTACTTATATCTATTGGATATTAGGTACCCAAGACATTATTTTAGAAAGATAATGATCTAAGAAGAAGAACATGAATAGTGTAGAGTAGTATTAGGGGTTGTGTTTGAATGATGATCCTTTTACATGGCTCCCAAGGGGAATATTTATAGGAAAAACATGGACCACGCTGCTAATATGGGCTTGGTAGGACCAATTATATAAAAAACTGTTGAATGATATAAAAGCAAATCTAATAGGTATTAATGAATATTTAAGGAGTACAATAATATAAATGTTATCTAATGGATGTATGTGGGCCATTGTCCATGCCCAATAGTCACAAGACCAAGCTTTCGAGTCCATATACTCTATCATGAGTCCCACACTGTATTCGTTAAGAGTATTCGAGATTAGAGGGAGTAATCTTTCACTGCAATGTGTGGCTCTTTGCTGTATTTTGCCAAGACGCCTTGCCCGATTCCTTGACCGATGATTTGATCTTACTGGCGAGCCTTGTCCAAGCCAACCCTAGGGGAGAAAACTTGGGGTGAAAGTTGCAGGCCTGAGAGGCTGAGACCATCACTAGCGATCCTGGGGCCGAGGGGTTGTGTTTGTGCTCATGGTTGTTGTGGTAACTAGGGCCTCAGACCTTGCTGGTTTAGCCGTGTTTCTAGTTTGGTTTTCAAAAATGTTTTTCAAATGATATATATTGGAAATATGATATGCATGAACATTTTCAAACCTCTTTGATGAATGATGCACTGATGCTTTTAAAAAAAATCCCAAGTCGTAGACTAATTCCTCTATGTGCATCAATCCATTTCTTGGAAATCATAGGATAAATGAATTTGGATTCATTTACACACACTTAAGAATAATGTCAGTTACATTTGATATATTACTCTTCATCTCATAAAACTATGTCATATTTGATTTTTTTGGTCAATCATGTTCAACTTTGACCAATTATATGTTTTTATAAGAAATTATTTATAATATAAGAATGATATGAAAATGTTCTTTGTTAAAAGTACTTTCATAAAAGTATTTTTTATCTAACCTAAACTAAACCTGACCTAAACCTAACCTAACCCTTATGGCGCCCAAACTGAGAGCGCCAAACCGGAGGCCAACCCCAAACGGGCAGCCCACTAGACCCAGCGGGACAGTACTGAGAATATCCCTTGAGTCTCAAAGTTGGGTACTTTCAAAAAGTATAAAATTCGTAACTTTCATAATATGATACTAATCAAAATCATAGTCCAAACTTTGACTTTACCAGGGACGGAAGTAGTATTTCTTAACAACCAAAACACAAGGATTCATAGAGTTTAGCACGTCAATGCTAACCATCTCTCCCTTTTTTGTGTTGGCCAATGTTTGAAATTGTGTATGGCATAAGCGAGACGTTTTGTAGTATGGCGCATTGGCTAACCCTCATGGCACATTGAGGCGTAATGTTGAAGCGTCAATCTCATTTTGTAGGAAAATTGTGTATTGAAAGAGATAGAAGAAATAACAAATAAATATTAATCCAAAACAACAAATTTCATGTCAAACTAACAAACATGAGGTAAAGAATCCATCATCAATTCCATTAAAAAAAACACATCAATGGATCAAAGTGTATTAGACACAGATACAAATCCAAGCTAAAGCAGTAAACGGACGCACAGATCTGATCGGAAATATTCTGAGAATAGGGTTTATTGATAGTGAAGGTAAACCGTAGGCAACATGTACAAGACTCTTAGGCAACTGGGACTCTCAAGGCAACATTCAATCCAAAATAACAGTCTGCCTCTCCTTACCTGTTTTATTCTATTTATAGACCTACAGCCCCACTAGCTATAGTCAATAGCTAATAATAGAAGACAATTATTACAAACTTATTCTATTTATTATTATTCTAGGTAGGTTCCTAACAAATCTCCCCCCTAAACAACCACCTTGCCCTCAAGATGGGCGATAGGTGACAGCCAAGATCTTCTGCTTCCTCTTCATCCTGGCGCTCCTGCCTTCCCAATAGTTCACTACTTTCTGAGGGAGAAGCTTCAATACTTGATCTTTCCCACTCAATGATGTTTCCTGAACCTCTTTGCCAGTGTAATTCAACACAGGAACTGAACCACATTTTGTGCTTGAGAATACAGAGTCAGCTTCTTCCTTGACCTGGATAGCATGATCACAAGCCTTGATTGGAGGGAAGTCTAATCTGACTTTAAAAGCTTCAGAAAACTCCTTTACAGCCTCCTCCTCTCCTGTAGAATGCTTTTGTTCCATGTTATATTCTTGCTCTTGTCCCTTATAATTCAGCAGGTTCCCTTCTTCATTCTGTTGCAGAATCAGTGCCATGATTGTGAGAGAAACTGCCATACTATTTAAGGCTATATACCCTTTTATTGAGAGAATCTGACTCTCCTGCTTCCATATAAGGTTCTGGTTGTGGAAATTGACAACAATATCTCCTAATTGAGTTAACCATTCCATTCCAAGCACTAGTTCTGTCCCTTCTAACTCCAGGATGTAAAATACTTGTTGTATGACATTCCCTTGCACTTCTAATTTCAGCCCCAAACATCTGCCACTATTGGGAATGAACTCCCCATTCCCAGTCTGGACCTTGTATCCTTTTATTTTATGGTAGGGAATGTTATACTTGTCTACCAATTCCTGTGATATGAAATTGTGGGTAGCACCACAATCAATGAGAATGTTTACTTGTTTCTCTCCTATAGATCAGCTTAGTTTCCCCATTACCTTAAAAGCTCTCATATAGGGTATACCTTCTTGACTGAGCACTGATAATTGCATCGATTTAAGTTCCGGGTGAGGCCCCTCTTCTTCTTCAGAATTGCTGCAATCCACTTCAGATTCTGCCTCTTCTTCAGAGTTTTCAACCATAACCATTTTGAAAATTTTCATCCGGCATACATGCCATGCCCTCTATTCCAGTTTTCCCCACACTTGAAACATAATCCCTTCTTGCTCCTTTCCATCAATTCTTTTTGGGATAAAGTGGGGCCTAGTTTTCCGGAGTTAGAGCCTTCACCTCTCTCCACACTCTTATTTCCAGAAGACTGTGTAGGATTTGGATTACTGCTACTTCTAATCCCTTCTTCCCCTTTCTGATAACTGCTTCCTTTAGATGCAGTGTTCTTCCATGGCCTTTTCCCTTCTTCTTTATTCCTTCTGAACATTATTTCCTCATTCTTATTCTCTATCAGTTGTGCATTATCCATGATTTTAGCAAGATCTTTGGTCTTATATAACTTCAGTTCAGCCTTGATATCTTTCTTTAACCCATTCAAGAAGATACCCCTCATAACCTTCCTGTCCAGACCTTCTTGAGAAGCAATAGCTGTTTCAAATAGTTCTCTGTACTCTTGTACAAATTTTTTTGTTTCAAACTCAACAAAGGACCCAAAGGATTCTGGATCAACTCAGGATGAAACCTTCGAATCAGTGCCTTCTTCAACCTTTCCCAATTCCTCTCTCTGGCTTGTTTCTCCCACCATTGAATCCATCCCAGGGCTTTGCCTTCCATGGCTACTACTGCAACTTCTATCTTCTCCTCTTCTATATTGTTGAGTCGGAAATAACGCTCAATCCTGACCAGCCAGCCAAAAGCGTCTTCACCGTTGAATAAAGGTAGGTCTACCTTTCTGTGCGTCTGACGATGATGATGGCGATGCCGGTGTTGTGGTGAAAACTCCTGGTGATCTTCCGATTCATCAGAACTGTCACTCGATTGCGTCGAGTGATGATGCGATGAATGACGCGATGCCGACGAGGCATGCGATCGACTTCGCGAGCGATGTTGATCCCGCGTATCCAGCCTAGCGAGAACTTCGGTCATCATTTTCTCCAACTGATCTAATCGTGATTCCATCTTCGCGCGCGTCAATACCATCAACAACGATCAACCGCTCTGATACCAATGTTAGACACAGATACAAATCCAAGCTAAAGCAGTAAACGGACACACAGATCCGATCGGAAATATGCTGAGAATAGGGTTTATTGATAGTGAAGGTAAACCGTAGGCAACATGTACAAGACTCTTAGGCAACTGGGACTCTCAAGGCAACATTCAATCCAAAATAACAGTCTGCCTCTCCTTACCTGTTTTATTCTATTTATAGACCTACAGCCCCACTAGCTATAGTCAACAGCTAATAATAGAAGACAATTATTACAAACTTATTCTATTTATTATTATTCTAGGTAGGTCCCTAACAAAGTGGTATGTTCAAAAATCACGTGGAAGACATTTTCTAGCTACTTAAGTTATAAGATCATTAGTTTGAGGGGTGCGACTTTCATAATGAGCAACTGTGAGCTATCAATAATCTTTAACAACACAAAGTAAAAACACACTGTCAGCATCATTTGTTACAATTCAAAACGATCTTTATCTTTATCATATTAAGAATCATACAATTTGATATTGAAATATACAAATGTTAACCATCATAAATATTGAGTTCATATTTTAATGTTTCTTGTACATATTGAAACTTTTTACAATAACAAAATCAACATCCAAGCCATAATTCCAAAAGAGTTTGGGATCGAGTAACATGAGTCGACACATGAAATCAGAGTTAAAAAGATAAGAAACATAAAAAGATAAAAAAGATATATATGTTAAGACAAAGGAAATGAAAACGATAAGATAAACATCATATAATGATAAATATAAGATAAATATAGAAATGATAGGGTAAAAAGGAGAAAAATATAAGATAAAAAGGATAAATGATAAAGATCATAAGAAAGATAGAGAAAATAAAAAAGATAGAAGGATAAAAAAGATTAAAGAGATCAATCCTCCACACTAATATTCTCCCTTCACTTTGCCCTCTCCATAATAATACTCTCATTCAACCCAAGAAAAATCATATCACTCTCGACTCTTATAATCCATATCTGTTTAGATCTTCCTCTCCCTCTCCTCTTTGCCCCTTCTCCTCATCTTTCAACTCGTCTAACAGGTGCATTACTCTGTTTACTACGCACATGAACAAACCACCGCAATCGAGATTCTCACATCTTTATTGCAATAGGGTGCTGCTCACACATCTTGTCTGATTATCTCATTCCTCAAGCGGTTCTTTCTAGTGTGTCCACAAATCCAATGCAACATGCACATCTCAGTCACACTCATCTTTTGAACGTGACATTGTTTCACCGTCTAACACTCTATGCCATACAACAATGCCAGCATAATTGTTGTCCAATAAAACTTACCCTTTAGTCTAGAAAGACAATATTTTATAAAATTGGAATAAAAATGAAGAAACAAGCATGAGTAAGGTAGAAAGAAAGAACATAAATTACCCGAAAGATATTCCTCAGCAACACTAGCTTGCCAAAGAGCCTAAGGCTGCCCAACTGTAAAACAGCCTTGATTCTACAAATATCCCAATGGCTCCTATGCTAAAGGAAGTCATTATTTATACCTATGAGGCTATGACAATACTTAGACAAGGTAAAATATACTACCTCCGTCTCTTTTATATTGGTACGGAGGAGGGTGGCACGATTGTTAAGAAAAGTGAGTTTGTGTGGTTGATATTAATTGATAAAGTAAGAATAAAGTAAAAATGATTTAGATCCACACAAACTTTACCAAATATGGTATGAGACAATATTAATGGGACTTCCCAAAAAGGTAAAACGGGACAATATAAGGGGGACGGAGGGAGTAATTAATAATCAATTACCCCTTATATCATGATCTATTGCTATAATCTTTCATTGCTGTAAATCTGATTCATTATGATCATTTGATTTATTCTCTGGTTTGCCTTGATTGGTCCTCTGATTTCTTTCTTTCCATGGAGGTTTTCCTTTATATTGTTTACCTCTACAATAAGCGTTTATATTGCAATTGATTTTCTTTTGTTATTCAACAGACATATCTTCAATCTATAACGGTTAGGCTTGAAGAGATGAGGATAAAAAGACGTGATTCAGAGCAGTGGATGCATCATAGGGTGTTACCATCAGATCTCAGGGAAAGAGTAAGATCTTATGATCAGTACAGATGGTTGGAAACAAGAGGAGTAGATGAGGAGAGTTTGGTGCAGAACCTGCCAGCAGACCTCAGAAGGGATATCAAGCGCCATCTGTGTTTGAATTTGGTTAGGAGGGTATGTATTGTATTTCTAAGTATGCTATTTATTACTCGCTAATTGAGCCATTTTTCATAAATGATATTCTCTTCATCCCAAAAATGAAGTCCTGTTATGATACTTGCTATTTTTGCATTTGAATTTATTTTTGGATTTGAATTTATTTTTGTACAAAAAGAAGTTTGACTTTGAGACATTTTTGTCCCAAGAAAAGAGTTCTATTTCAGAAAAAAGTGTGCTTTATTAAGATTGTATTTTTTGTCCCAAAAAGAATCCTAACCAGTGTTCTAAACATTGCCTAGCCCGCCTCGGTATTCCCTTTATTTCTTATTCTTTTATTTTCTCCAATTTTTAACATTATTAACTAATAATTTTATAATTTTTTGACAATAGAAATAGCTCATATAATTATTAAATGTTATTCCCTCCGTACTTTAAAGACGGCTACATAGGCTTTTGCTCATATAATTGAATAGTGTAGAAAATTCGGAGAGAACATGGAAAAGTATGAATAAGAAATAAAAAGTAGAAAAAGCAGGGCTGGATGATTGAATATTTTGAAGGAAAATCTTACCTAAAAGGGAAAATGTAGTTTTAAATGCATCCTAAGAGGAAAGTGTAGCAAATTGTAAAATGCGGGGCTTGTTTTTGCAGTAAAATTATGAATAGTAAAATAATTAATAGAAAAGTTTAAATAAAATAAGAGATTTGTGTTTTTTAGTCTCTAAAAATGTTCATACACACTCTAAAAAGTTTATATACATTTTAATAATTATTTTTTTTTATCATAGGGATATGAAAATATTTTTTTTAGAATAGAATATTTTTTTTTTATCAAAATAGTATTTTAAGACATACTACGTAATAGAGACTATTAATTAGGTCGGGAACAAATTTAATCTGGGCCACCTAGGCACCTGACCGATTTTTCTCACCGATTACAATGAAATTGGCGCTCCGAGCCACCGTCTTGCGCCTAGGCCGAGTTTATAATGTATTTAATCCCAAAAAGTATTCCAAATAAGTAAAATAGGTTAGATTTGGTTTTAAAACAAGAGTTGTAAAGTTATACTCTCTCCCATCTCGATTAGATGTAAAATGTCCCTTACTCATATTTGGAAAGTTATTTATTATTTTTTGTATTTAGATTTTCGGCAGCTTCTAATTTAATTATTTATATGCTCTTTATACTCCCACCACCGCGCAATTAAGTTAGTAGTTGAGTCCACGGGTGTTTACGCCCAATAGTTTTTTGATTGATTTTCCAATTATACTCTTTTTGAAAAGCATGATAGAGAAAAAATAATGTACCTTTAATGGCGGTAAAAGAGCATTTTATCACTCAAATATCACCAAAAATAGAAGTAAGAAATTTATTTTGGCATTTCCAAAAAGGAAAGTATACTTAATGATGAGATGGAGGGAGTACATTTTTCTTCTCTTTCCTACATTTCCTTCTCCGTGCTTTTTCTACCCTATTAATTACTCCGTACAATTTTTCTTAATCTTCGTGAAAAACCAATGCAGTTGGACATTGATGAAACATGACTCTTCTGTAGACATATAGAGTAATGTACTGGTGTAAATAATAAGGGGGTGTTTGGATTAAATTCTTAAAACTACTTTTGCTTCTTCAGGAAGTAGAAACAGATATTGAAGTGTTTGGATGAAAGTGCATAAGTACTTTTGAGTACTCCAAAATGCTTTTGGAAGCAGTTTTTTAGAAGTTGGGGCACTTCTAAAAAACTATTTTGATTCTACTTTTATTTTGAAAAAGAAACAGAAGTAAAATCATTGCATCAAATTACGTCTTAACCCATCCTTTTAGCATGGTGTCAAAGCACATAGAGAACTCTTTTATAGTTGAGGTGGAAAACATCATTCAATTCTCATACACAAACTTGTATTGAGAGTTATTCGAAACGTACTTACATACTCATTCTTTTTGGTTTCATGCATCAAATTGCAGGTCCCTCTTTTTGCTAACATGGACGAGAGACTGCTTGACGCCTTATGTGAGCGACTCAAACCGTGCTTGTTCACGGAGAAGACATACATCGTACGAGAGGGTGATCCGGTGGATGAGATGCTTTTTATCATCCGCGGTCGGTTGGAGAGCGTGACGACGGATGGCGGGAGAAGCGGTTTCTTCAACCGTGGGATCCTAAAAGAGAGCGAGTTCTGCGGGGAGGAGCTGCTGACTTGGGCCCTGGATCCGAAAGCGGGTGCCAACCTGCCCCCGTCAACTCGCACCGTCACGGCATTGACAGAGGTGGAGGCGTTTGCATTGAGCGCAGATGAAGTCAAGTTCATATCATCCCAGTTCAGGCGCATCCATAGCCGGCAGGTGCAACACACTTTCCGCTTCTACTCTCAGCAGTGGAGGACATGGGCTGCAATGTTCATCCAGGCCGCATGGCGGCGTCACGTCCGCAGGAAAAACACTGATTTGCGCCAGAGCGAGTCCGACAACAACTATGATGATGATGATGATGATGATGATGATGAGACTTGTCTTATTTCATCCGTCCCTAATAGCAGCATGGGTGCAACCATGTTTGCGTCTCGTTTTGCTGCCAATGCGTTGTATAAGGTGCGAAAATCTAAATCTAATAACACCATCATCAACCCACAGAAGCCCCCTGAGCCTGACTTTGAAACTGATGTGTAATTTATTCAAGGAAAGTTAACAATGAACAATAATTTTTGTATGTAGTATAGTAGTAGGTATTACAAAACGATCATATAAGACTGACTACCTTAAGTTCGTGGACAGATCTAGAAATTTTCTTATACTTCTATAGTTACGTTGATCAGTTGATGGTGAAAGTAACTCCCAGTTGTCACCTAATTGTCATAAAACAAAGTTGGGGGTGCAAATACAAATTTTTATTACCTCCCTTTTCTTGTATCATACTCGTGCAACGAAGCACGGCTAAATATAGCTTTGATTAAATTTTAACATGTCGTAAAGGGAAATAAAGGAAATACATTTGAGATTGTACAAATAAAGAAAATCAAAAGGGGAAAATTTTAATACTAGTATGTAGTATTAATGAAATCATGATTGGTCAATAAGACAATAACTAGGACGTGCATGCATCTAGAATGAGACATAATCAAATTGTGTAGGAAAAATACCCACTATTGTACCCACTTTTGTACCCACCATGTCTTCATATACATATTTGTGTCTATGACCGGGATTCACGGACAAAAAAAAACTCCTCACAGACATGGTGGGTACAAAAGTGGGTACAATAGTGGGTACAACAAGAAAAATCCAATTGTGTAGCAGTGTAAGGTGCGCGGGTGTACTGTAATGCGGAGTATTACAAATGATAGTCTCTCCACTTGGGCTTTGTTTGCAAGTGCTTGTGTTTAAATAAAAACACTTTTTGGGAAAAAGTGATTAGTAAAAGTTGATACTGTTTGGTAAAATAAGTGCTTTTTGTGTAATAGAAAAGGTAAAAAGTTGATTATACACGAAAGCTGAGAAAGTAAAAGTTGGTAGTGTTTGATAAAATAAGTGTTTTTTCTTTAAAAAAGTCACAGGCACTTAAATTAAGGGCTTGCAAACAGAGCCTTGCTTTGAAGGTAAGTTGTAGGAAGGAAAGGAAGGGGAAGGTGAATAAGCTCTTCTTGTTTGGAAGTAATAAATTTGGAAGGGAAAATTGTCAATTTAATCCTCGTACTATCACGAAAAAGTCAATTAGATCTTTTTACTTTAAAAAAAATCAATCAAATCCCCGAACTTTGTGAAAACGTTCAATTGAGTCCATTTGCAGGTTACTTGCCATGTCAGTGGGTCATTCACTGACGTGGCACAGACGCGACAGTCCATTTGATGGTTACTTGCAGCTACCGCGTCGTCCGCGCGTAAAACACAGGATGACAAGCCCGAAAGAAGGCTGAGGTAACAAAAACTCTCTAGTCAGTAACATTTCTAAAGGACCAACAAAGATAGCCGTTGCGAAACTAACGACAAGTCTGGTCCCTCATCATAAATAGGCCTGGAAAGGCTCCGAAACAAAGCCACTGACCCACTAAAGCCGAGGGCACAGTGATCCCCTCGTCTTAGTCCACGCGAAAAAGCGTAGCGGAAAATACCCGCGAATGGCTGGAGGAACAGCAACCCTTTGCCCACAACCATAAATAGGCCACACTCCTCGCTCAAAGAAGCAAATAGGAAGTTAAAAAAAAAAGGGAAGCCGACGGACCGCGCACTCGCCGGCCTCGAGCAAAAAAAATAAAATCCCCACAAGTCAAGCCACATTTGGCCTAAGTACATATCAGGCAATACCCATCAAGAACAAAGCAAAGGCTGATAAAACATCCTGGACGAAGGCTCGCAAAAGAGGGACACTTAGACAAGGTGAAACACCTCGTCTCACTAAGGGAATCACAGAACTCCCACTTAGAAAAAACTCTAAGTATGAGAATGTCATCCCTTCGGCCATACAAGGGCAACGTCTTTCCATCGGAGAAGGTAAACCAAAAGTACAGACAAATCTCAAGACAAGGATCAAAGACGATACGAAACAACGACAGAAGAAAAGGAAAAGATGTGCACTGCAAGACGATGTCATTCATAAAATGATAAGTACATATGGGGGCGCAACAGCCATTACATTACGGGCACAACGACCTCTAAACTATCATGGAAGAATAAAAAATAAGAGAAGTACTGTTGGTCCCGATTAAATAGTAATCAGTCTAGAGGGGGGGGGGTGAATAGACTGATTGGGTTTTCAAATTTTTCTCTAAGTCCAACCTGACTTATCAGAGAAGGTCTTACTCTGGTAACAGAGGAAGGCTGGTTCTGGTATCAGAACTGGCCTTGGCAGCGGATTCTGATCTGTCCGGGTAGCCTCAGAAACACTAAGGCAAATGCCTTTCTGATAACTCTGAAAACAAGATCTGCTGAACACAGATTCCAAGTCTTAGAGTTAATCAGTTAATGTCCTAAGTGTAGAAATATAAGTTGCAGTAAATTAAATGACACCAGATATTTTTATAGTGGTTCAAGGAACAACGCGTTCCTCTAGTCCACTGTTCCACTAGCTTTGAAGTAGATCGGTTACAAAGCTTAGTTCCTAGCACTTAAGAAGTTCTCCACGCCTTCTTCAAGCCTAGTTGCCACCCAGGATGCAATTCCACGTCCTGATGGCTGGTCCTTTAACTCAGCTTCCCGGAAGTATCACCACTTCACTACTGCAGTTACTCGGACGTCCTTCTTTTCAGAAGATCCTTTGAAAAACAAAGTTTTTCCTCCAACTTGCTTCGTCACAAATGATGTTTGATGAAGTTCTTGAAGAGTTGAAGAACAGGATGAACTTTGCTCTTGTTGGGGGTGAAAGATTGTGAGGTTGAATCTTCCCAACGTAAGCTTTTTCTTGTTTTTGTGTTGTGGAGTTTGAATCTCAAGAATGCTTGTAGTATGAAGTTCAGAGCAAAAAGTTCGTTGAAGTTGTTTTCCTGTTCTTCGGTGAGTAGCTTATATACTTGGGTTGTCTGCCCGTTGGAGGAGGAGACAACTGCATTAAATGCGCGTACTGTGGATTTGACCAGTTGGACCCGCAGTTTTGGCAGGTTTCCATTTTTGTATAATATTCTCCAGGATTCTCGGTCAATCATCTGCAATTAATCCAAAGCGTATCAGGCTCATTTAATGAGCATTAAATACTTTCCTTGGACGGAATATCTTCTAGCCGTTGATGAATTTCCCAGCCGTTGGAAGTAGCTTTGAAATTCTTCTAAGTGTTAGTCGGAGTCTGATGAGCTTCTTTGATGACATTCTGATCTTGGGTTCTGATGGACTTATATGAGGAACTCTGACACTTCTCTGGAGTTGGATTCTGATGAAGCTTTTTCATCGAACTCTGATGTCTTTCTGATGTAGACTTCTGACGAGTCTCTGAAGAGCAACACTGATGGTTCTCTGATGAGCAACTCTCATGATTTCCGAGAGCGACTCTGAAAGCAGTTCTCATATAGCAGCTCTGATCAGATCCACATAGCAACTCTGATAGTCGATTATACTAGTACTTACAACTGAAGATTCTAATACATAAAATCTAAGTTGGGGGTACTATAAAATTCTAATCTAAATAACCTAGCATCATCAAAATCTAATTACATTTATTCCTTACAAGTACAAAGGGAAACTAGGCCTCATCGTCGACTTGATCTCCCCTCTGGCCGACATTCTCCCCGGCTTCACCATCTTCTTCATCACCATCATCTTCAGCTCCTTCTTTGGAATCAACAGTGTCCTTGAGCATGTCGTCATCACTCCAAGGCTCTTCTCCTTCATCCGAGCTGAGGATGGGAGGTTCCCTTTGCTCAATAGGCAGCTCAAGCTCTGCCTCCGGATTATTCATTCGATGAGGAAGGTTTAGGCCCTTCGGCTTCATCTTCCTAAAACGCTGACGAAGCTTCCTGTAAACCAACCTCTTCATTCGCCATTGGCCAAGGTCATAAAGGACCTTCATATCCTTTCGTCAATACCTTTGGTCGGCATGGTCATTTTTCGCCCAGTCCTCGAATCGCTCGGCTACAACTTTGTAACACCTGGAACGCCGGTCGTCTTCTTTTCAGCCCTCGTCCAAAAATGTTTCTATACATTTATCAGTAGCCTCCTTGACCCTGATCTTCAGTTGCCTCGCCTCTTCGGCTTATTCCTTCTCAGAAGCAAGGGCTTCCTTGGCTTTCTTCCTGACCGCAATCTCCTCATCCAACTTGGTTTGAAGGGCCTGTTTTTCTTCATCGTCCTTCTTCTTCAGTCCATCCAGCTCGACGCGAAGCTGCTCCAGGGCATTCAAAGCCTCATCGGCTGAGACAACTTTCTTTTCAAACTCCTTCAATCGAGCTATTTTGGCCTTCTGCCTCAAGTGTTGCTCTCTCAACATAAAGGCACCCTGGACGAAGAAAGCACATGCAAAGAACATCTAAAAGACAACCAAGCAAAAGCAAAATATATACTTACGGAGATGATGTAGTCCATGCCCCCATCGTACAACTGCACGTTGTCTCTCTGACGACTCATATACAAGCGGTCCTCTTCTGGGATGCCCTGATCAATCACGTTCTCCCCAGTGACGCCGTCGTTGAAAATGCCACCCTTCGTCGGGTAACGGACGGTGACTTCATATAACCCCTTCCCCAATTCCTTACCGGGGCGAGCCTTAACCGATGCAGCCTTAACAATCTTTGGGTAGGACATAGTAAGGGCAGCCAAGGAAGGCTCCATGGTTAAATCCACCAACGACGCGGCATCCACGACGTCCTCACCACCGGCCGTAGCGTGGACACCCAGAGCTCCGGCCTCCTCACTTGCGAAAGACTTCTTCGTCTTCTTTTCCACCTTCGCCGGCTGCAGACCGGCCTTAGTTTAAGTCTTCTGCCCCTCATCAGCAGACCTCTTCTTCTTTGAAACAGGAGGTTTCTTGGCGGCCTCAGTTTTTCCTTGGGAACCATCAGCAGAACCCTTTGAGCCGCTAACAGCCACGTCGGCCTTCTTTCTCGCCTCCACCAACTTTACGGCTTCAGCCATGAAAGACATACAGTTCATATTGAAGCCTGCAAATACATAAGGATGGTTAGTCAAAAAACAAAAGACAAAGCAAAAAAAAAAACTTCAAGAACATGATCAACCTTCGGCCTCGGCAGGCACACCCAGGCGAGGCCCGTCGGCCTGTTCATAGGAGCCAGACATCTTCGTCCAGTAACCATTATCCACGTCCCCAGGACAGTAGTACCTTACAAAGCCAAGGGTGGCCATCTTATATTCGGTGATGTAGTCTTTCACGCTCCTTGGCCCAGCCTCCACGAAGGCTTTCACCTGGGCATCAATGGTGGCTCTACTTGACGGATCATGCAAATGGAAAATCCCCGAA